ACATGAATCCACAGCAGACTGGTACCAGTACAAGAGTTTATTACAATGAGGGTTTAACTCAACAGAATACAAAAAGCCAAGTCAGTAGGACATTCTAGACAGAGAAACTAACAAAGAATCAGATTACGGGCTAAGGAACTGAAAATAGGGGCTAGCTATACCAACAAATTAGATAGCTGACAAGACACAGGACTAAGCTAGGCGAGCCACTCAGCTGACAAGTCCAGTCTTCGTCATAGCAGTCAGGATCCATCATGTGTTGAGTGGTGTGTGGGGAATAATCTGTAGGGAAGACGACAGGGACAGGTAAGTGATCTAGGTGGCAGAATGGAGGGAATGGCTGAGTAAAAGCTGAAGGGATTGGAGTGTAGGCCCAGGAACTGTCAGTGGCAAGAGAAAGAAGAGGAAGCAAAGCAGAAATGAGTTACTACACAGCTCAAACAAACTGGCAGATAATGCAAGCAGCCTGAACTGACTGACAAGGTTACTTAGTCAAATGTCTGGTGGAGAATCAATCATCTGGAGGGACCAGATGATTGGTGATAGGTGAGCTGATCTCCTGCATAGCTGTCTTCACTCCTGCAATCAAAGCCACTACACACACAATCATGCCCAGAGAGATGGAGAGAGGGCGCTGCTAGCCAAGGAGAAGCAGAGGATGGGGGCTTTACAGATTTCTATGAAACCTAGCCATATTCGTAAAAATGAGAGCAGCCCAGTGGAATGAATGCTATCTATCCTAATAAGACCAGGGGCCTCATTTATCATCGGAGCATAGAAAAAGTTCTAAATTCTGTCGTACGCATGAAATTTAGAGTGTGTGTAAGTACAAAAAAATCTGTATTTATCAAACATGTGTATGGGGGTTGTACGCACATCAGTGGTGATAAATCCCACTTGTTCTTAATCACCGTGCTTATGCACGTTGCCTTCAGAAACCCCTCCAAATAACCATATATGGCAAAAACACGCCTCTTTATAAAGCAAGTGAAGATTTACTTTTCCCTCACCTGTCGTCATCATCGTGGCAAAAAGGGTGAAAAAGAGAAACTTTTCTGAAACTGAGCTCGAGGTACTTGTCAGCAAGGTTGAAGCAAACCAGAAAATATTGTTTGGTGCATGAAATGTTGGGATAAGCAGCAAAAGAAAAAATGTTGCGTGCGACAAGATAACCACAGCAGTTATTTCTGTTGGGTAAGAGGACAGATCGCCGGCACAATTTTTAAAAAGTGGTTTGATGCTAAGCTCAGTACCAAAAAACGCATCACAGCCCATCAAAGAGAAATGATTGTGACTGGAGGAGGACGAATTAATACCGAAAGTTCACCTGTCACACCTAGTGTATGGTGTATGAAAGAGCAAGGTCCCTGCCTGCCATTGAGAGCAACTTCTGGTTCAATGTTTTTCCCAAGGACACAGCTGCCAAAAAAACACTATTACTGCAAACAAGGCCAGAGAGGCCACGAGGGAAAACAACTGTTTATCATGTCTCGAAAAAAGCCAGTAAACAGTTTAATCAGTCTCTCAGTAAATATAAATAATAAGATCGGAAATCAGAAATCAGCAGTCATGCTGTTAAACTATGATGCAAGTATTGTTCACATCTGGATGATCTCATATCGTGTTGCTTAGTTTTGTCCTAACTTGTTGAATCTATCAGGCTTTACTCCAGATCTGAATAGAGTGAAAGCTGAATTACAATTCAGCAATTCAGCAATTAAAATGATTACTACTGGCAAAGCCCTTTGACATATGTACTGTGATTATTGCCTCTGGAAGTGACCTGGATTCCTGGATGCAACATTTCTGCAACCTGTTTACCACCATCAGTGACTGGGCCCAGAGGACTGACTATTTTATGATACCAATACTCATAGAAGAAAGTGAAAGCGTTTTTTTTTTTTTTCCAGCTCAGCCAATGTATGTTGATTGAATGGAGAACAGTAATAGCTTCAACAGAGACCTGCTGTCATTACCTTGGGCTACACTTTGAAAATGTTTGAGGCATGATCTGTAAAATAAACAAAATGTGGAATGATGTATTCCTCTTTAACTTGTACTTTATAAGGTGGCTAAATACAGAGCCTTTGCATGAACCTGCATTGTTTCCCCTTTCCAGCTTGTTCCATATGCTCTTTGTTTGTCTGTTCCCGGGTGTTCAGAAAAGGAACCCCTCATTGTGTTTTGAAATCTTTGTTGCACTGTACATTGCCAGCTTTTGTAGTGACATAGCACAATGTCAGTTTCAGATATAGAGTGGCTCAATGTGTGTAGTCAGCCTATTCTCCCTTACGACACTCAGCAAGGTTCATTTTTATTAGTGCTTTAAGATCAAAAATAGCTATGCACACTGCTTTGAAAGGCAATGTTGGAAGGATTTTTTCTGCAAATGTCAAGGTTACATTAAGGTGAGTTAAGATTGCATTCTGTTACTATTTGTTTTTTGTTTGTTTTTTTCTACACGAAAATACTAAGTAGTTTGTCTTACTGTGTCTGAGAAGAAATAGGATTGAAAGTAAATAACAAATTTATACACATTTATACCTGCACATTGGCATCAGTGCTTATTAAAAACACGTCTGCTGTAATTTATCTGACATTATGGGTACCAGAGATTAGGTTTACAGTTTAATTTTCTACATGTAAAGAGTCTTAAAAAAATGTTTTATGCCATTATCTTTTAAATTAATTACCTTTAAATTAAAAACTTTTAAGCTATGAAAAATACAGAAATGTATAAATACATTAATACATTTTCCTACCAGGGACTAATTCCCAACAAAGTGAAGATAACCCTGCCTCTCATTCTGTGTAATCAGTAGCCATAATAATCAGAAGCCTTTAAAATTAGTTCCAAAAATCCATTAAAAACTGCTTGATTTAGTTTTTATCTAATCACTAACAGAAAACAGAAGCAACAGAATTTATCCTATTACCATTGCCAAACATTAACGTTCCGCTCACACTACAGATGATCAGATTTAGCAGATTGTGTCAGTGTATATGGCAGACAATGATCAATAACCTGGATGATGTGCTTACAGTCCTCAGTACCTTGGTATCTATCAGAATGCACCTGCTAGCTTGTTAAAGATGTTACAATAAGCAGGATCTACTGTTTACCAACACATAACATGGATGCTTCAAACATTTGATTGTAACTGGAATAAGGCATAAAAGCATGTCATAACAGGTTAATAAGGAACATCTTTACTTAGCACATATTTCTTCATAATGTACAATAGTAGGTTTCAAGCTATGGGCTTGTCACATCTGGGGTACATAGGATCATAATGGGAGGGAGGAAACAATGATTTGCCTTTTCAAGTTGTTTAACCAAATTACCTTAACCCATGGTTTGTAAACTTCCCTTTATTAGAGATTTAAACCACATCCCACTGTCATCAGGTGATTGTGTTCTCTTCTCTATGTTGACATGGAGCTGGCTCAGGTGTCATCACATGACTAGGATACGAGTACAAGTATGATACTTCAATCAGGGAACAACAGGTGGTCGTTTATGGATGGAGATAGTAACCCCTGTTCAAAGATGGTGTCTGGTGTCAGATGTGAATGTTGTCCTTTATCTCTCTCCAGCAGCCGACTGGGTCCTAGTTGGTCAGAGGTTGTGTACTTAGGTTACATGATAACAACATAACCCACTTATTGACAGCTAAGCAAACGCTATTCACTGATGAAGGCAAAAGAAAGCTGAAGCTTAAAGCTTTAGAAAAAGCTAGTTTGAGGAGCTTAAGTTAAAATTATTTTTGAAAAGCTAATGTGTTTTAGATCAAAAATAAATTTTCACAGTTGAGGAACTGGAGTGCTGCAAAAGCTTGCCAAAACACCATTAAGACACAAACACTGCGCAGAGGAAAATTAGGCAATTCATTTACTGGTGCCTTCTCATTGAATTCATAGCACAATTCAGGAAACCTCCAACAGATCAGTTAAGCATAGTTGCTTAAGCAGGGCTTAAGTAACTATGCTGCAGCACTCTCACAGTTAAAGTGTTTACTGCAAAGAAGAGCAACAACAACATCAACAAATTAATTGTATAAACCTTCACACATTTAATAGGCCTAATATTGTCTGTCTAATAGGCAGTATGTTGATTCAGTTCTCCCTCTGTCTTTTTCTCTTTGTCTACCTCTCACTTTGATTGAAGCAACACATACCAACATATCATCCCTTTCAATTAGCTACCTTCTGTATAATTAGAAACTGGTACCTATGAAAACTCAGTTTCAACTTTTGTGGTATATATTTGAGAAATGATGCCTCTAAGCCACATTTGACAGGAGAAATAAGAACTAAAATAGAGGTTCAATTGGCTACTAACTAAATCTGAACATTGACTTGTTGATAATGCTAGATTACTGAAAACACAGAACATTGATGATTGGTTGGACATAATTTGCACATTAAGTGCAATCCATTTTGGTCACGAAAGCAAAGTCAATGCATCATTGGATCACACAACAGAAAATGCGTATCATATTGTTAAGAAGTTAAACTGTGGACATGAAAAGTGCACATAGTGTGTTGAGATAGCAATGTTTGTTTTTTTTTTTTTTTTTTTTTTGGGCTTTTGCCTTTATGTAGAGCAGTGGAGACAGACAGGAAAGGGGGGAGAAGAGTGAGGGAGAGACCTGCAGCAAAGGGTCGTGAGCGGGATTTGAACTCACAACCGCTGCATCGGGGACTGTAGCCCCTGTTCATGGGCCGCCCGCTCTACCAGGTGAGCTATACGGGCGCCCCGAGATAGCAATGTTTGTTTGATGTACTATACCTGTAACAAAAGTAAGTTTTGGAGCCATGTGTGCCTCACAGTTTGATTAACCAGTGTGAGCAAATTAACAGTTATTAAGGTAAAGATTCAGCTCAGACAACTTCATAATGAAATTATGTCTGCATACAGCAGCTGTACACAGAAACCTCTCCATCTAAGTGGTCCTATTATGATTAACACCTGTTTTCCTTCTGTCTAGGCCTATGCCATGGGGGACTGGTCCATACTTGGTCGCTTCCTGTCTGAGGTGCAGAACCACTCCACAGTGATAGGCAAGATCTGGCTCACCATGCTGCTCATTTTCCGTATCCTGCTGGTGGCCTTGGTGGGTGATGCGGTCTACAGTGATGAGCAGTCCAAGTTCATCTGTAACACCCAGCAACCTGGATGCAACAATGTCTGTTATGACACCTTTGCTCCTGTTTCACATCTGCGCTTTTGGGTCTTCCAAATTGTGATAGTCTCCACCCCATCTATCTTCTACATAGTTTTTGTCCTGCATAAGATTGCCAAAGATGAAAAGCTGAACAGCCAGAGAGCACAGGTGGTATCCCAGAGAGTTCCCACACAAAGATGTGGGCACATGTGTACGAATGGCATGGAGGCGCTGAGGGACATGCCCACTTACTGCCCTCATTACAGGACAGAATTGGATGCAAGGGAGAGGGAAGGAGTACAACAAAGCTTTGTGGAAGAGGACTATGGCAAAGTCGGAGAGGATCCCACTATGCAGTCCAACCAGGTTCTGCTCATCTACATTCTTCATGTATTACTACGATCTGTCATGGAGATCATTTTCCTGGTGGGACAGTACCTCTTGTTTGGTTTTGAGGTGTCTCACCTATATCGCTGTGAGACATACCCTTGCCCTACTCGCACAGACTGCTTTGTGTCACGTGCCACAGAAAAAACCATCTTCTTGAACTTCATGTTCAGCATCAGCCTAGGATGTTTTGTGCTGAACATCGCAGAGCTCCACTACCTAGGCTGGGTTTACATTTTCCGCATCCTCTGCTCAGCTTGTTCCACCTGCTGCAATTCGGAGAAAGACACTGTTGAACTTTATTCAAACCACAATCCCTTCCTCCTGCAGCTCAGGCATTCTTTGAGGGGGCAACTAGTTCTGCAGACCCCAGCAGCCATGGTTCCAGAGAAGACTGGAAGTCTGCTCACATGTGCCCCAGCTATCTCCTTTGAGACGAGCTCAACTGTAGAATGCAGTCCAGAGACCAGAGATAAAGTGAAAGTTAAACTTGCCAACATGGCCAGGCTGGGACAGATTAAAAAGTCTTGGCTATGAGAGTGCTTTTTTCTGTAATGTTACAATCTTTGTGAAAATAGGCTTTGTAATGTAAAGGTACCAGATTCTATAGCTTCTAGTCTGTAGTAGAACATTGAGTTTGCTCAGGTTGTCAAGCAGAATTTTGTCATTCTGTTTTCATTTTGTTATTCCAGCTCTTTATCCATGGGAGTAACATCATATAATGATGATTCTTGCATGAAACAAGAGCTTGTGTCATGCAGATCTGCATTTTGTGTATTCATGTTTCCCTTTTAAACTTCCTTAAACTTATCCAAGCATTTTAGCTGTCTAAAATGTAACCATAGATTGTTTCCCATAGATCCAGTCTTTACCTAGTGTGGAAAGCAGCTTAACAGTACTTTGGAATGACATCAGATTTGTGCTTTGTTGCATACTATACAGAGACGTCTCAGGCCTGAGCTCACACCTGTACATCAGTGCAAGATGAGAAAGGGAAGGAAGGTGTAGATGACAATTTCTGTAACTTCTGAAAGTGCAGAGGTGAGAAAAAAATAGGCAGAGTTTCAACTTCTCTTTTTTTCCTTTTTCATTCTTGACATTACTTTTTCTGTTTTTATCTTTCATTCACAAACTAATTCTTTAGTGTAACCCAGCCTGTACTCCTTAACTGCCATAGGCAGATATTGTAGAAAGACAAACGCAATACATGTGGTCACACAGTAAGACAACTTTGCAGATTCTAATTGTTGTTGAAGACTGTAAGATGCTGCTGTTTTTAAAGTTCTGAAAATGGTCGTAAGTGGACTCTGAGTGAAGAATTTCTTTAGATAGCTGTTACCAGCATAGTACTCAAAAAGTAAGATCTTTTGGCAAAAATTTACATTGCTTAGTTTTAGAAGAAATTGTTTTACCTCCAGCCACAGCTATAAGGTTTTGAAACTTTGAGCAGTTTTCCTTAAGTATTGCATTATGGGACAGTAGTGCACACCAACAGTACACACTGAATTTGAATTTTCTTTCTAGAAGAGAATTCAGGTATTTCGAGTTTATGAAATGTAAAAATACACGTTGAGTTTTTAAGAACTGCCTGGCAGCAGTTTTACATATTTTGGTGGAGAAGGTTTCAAGATGGACACAGCATTTTTTTGTTTTTTTAATCTGTGACATATGAATCATGTATTCACCTTTACTTAATTTTCCTTCCCTGTATTAAAAAAACAAACAAACAAAAAACCCCAAACATGTTTGTATATGTTATGAAATTTCAATAATCATGCTTCTTGGATTTTTTACCACAAATGAATCTGATTTTTGGGGGTAAATTTGTAGTGTATTGCAATTGAGAGGACTGGATTATTCTGTGAGGATAATTAAATGCTTTAATAAAAACAGGAATTTAAACACTGTTTTTATATATTTTGTTGGCCTTCTCTAAGCTCCACATGAGACAAGGGAAAAAATGTTATCATTTTAAAAAAACATAAAAAAATCTTGCTTTTTGTTTGTTTGTGTTGGGAACCAAATGGAAAGTTTTAAAACTGTACATAAAATGTTGAATTCTTGTTGTGGTTTGTGTAATTTTGACTCCTATTTTGGCATGAAAGTGGATTTGCATTAAAACCTGCCCCTATCCCCTCTTATCACAAATAAAGATACACGGCCATTTTTGTGGCTTTAATTGGCACATGAATGACAACTGAGTTCGTGAAAACTAAGGGTAACAGATCAGTTCCTGTTGAATTCTGCAGGTGGAAAAAATATGTAGACACAAATGTTTTTCTCTGGTGTTTTTTTGTTCCCAGTGTTTAACATGTTGAGATAATTAATGTTTGGGATGTTGATGTAGTTCCTTCTTATCCGATATCAAAGCTGACCTGGCCTGTGGTCATTTACAGCCTCAGAGATTAAACTGGGCAGTGCAGGCAAAAGCTCTGTGAGAGTATACAACGGTGACAGTTCTATAAATCTTTAAAGAATGCAGTCATGTCCCAAAATGTGAGCTATGCCCCCTGTTTCTGGTTGAGGCTGAAAACTTTTTGAAGTACTTTTATTTATGACTGCTGTGCAGATGTTGACGACAAGCTTTAGTCTTTGAGTTCTTAATATAGCACACTGGTGTTATATTAAGCCTTAATGCTAATATGTAAGTTTTTAACCATATTGTGCTTTGCTGTGTTTTCAAAAACATTGAAAAACTATCCATAACAAACAACTATATTATAACTATAATAACAATCCTGAACAATAAACCTATAATGACTACAATGTGTAATTACTCTTCGACCTGTAAAATTCTCAGAGGGACAGTTCTCTAACAGCATAGCCTTTTTGTGACCTTTATTAAGGTTACTTTAATCCTAATGCTCGAACATTTCCAAGATATGGGCTTATCCTTTCTTTCCAAGTGTGACACGTTAATATGGATATCAAGCACATTGTGACTTGGACAACAGTGTGATTAGCTAGAATGTAAAGATTCCGAGAACATTTATTCAAGTAAAAGTAAAAATTCTTGTAATAAAAAGTAAAGAAAAAATATAAATGTAAAAGTGTAAGTAAAAAGCAAGGGTTGAAGAATTAAAAAAAATAAAAATAAAAATATATTGACAAAGAACATCTTTCTTTTGTACAGTTGGTTTTAATATTAGGAATATTTCATAAATGTTAGCTGTCTGAATATGGCAAATGGAATGAGTAGAAATGAAAACATACTTTAGGTAATCAACAGTTTACAATTTAATGAAACATATTTTGAAAGTCTGAAAAGAAAAAAGGTCACTTCTGTACAAGCCCTTGGAATTTTGTTCAGCTGATTTAAATGTAGTCCACATACAGAACATATAAATGCCACAGAAGCCTCTTTTCTGTTTGTCAGGTTTGTTGACAGTCCCACAGTATGTCTTTCTGATTTTCAGCTCAAAATACTGCAAAGGTGGTTGATTCTACCATGACTGCACAACCCCTAGTTTTAGGGCTGTTTTAAACAGGCTGTTCAGCTCTAAAAAAAACAAAACAAAGAACGTCAGCTTTTCCTACCTACTTCAGGAAAAATGTGCTGTCTATATGGCAGTCCAAAGACATCCATCCATCCATCCATCCATTGTCTATACACCGCTTAATCCTCACTAGGGTTGCGGGGGGGCTGGAGTCTATCCCAGCTGACTTAGGGTGAAGGCAGGGGACACCCTGGACGGGTCGACCAGTCTATCGCAGGGCTACACTTAGAGACAGACAACCAAGCACACTCACATTCACACCTACGGACAATTTAGAAATTTAGAATCACCAGTTAACCTCAACATGTTTTTGGACTTGTGGGAGGAAGCCGGAGAGCCTGGAGAGAACCCACGCTGCATGGGGAGAACATGCAGTCCAAAGACATGCTGAGGTTAATTGGAAATTCTAAATTGATCCCCGGTGTGAATGTGTGTGTGCTTTGTTGTGTCTCCATGTCTGTACATAAACTGGGAGAGGCTTCAGCCCCCCTGCGACTGGATGAATGGATTATTAGCAGAATACACAGTCTGTACATAGCATGCCAGTTTTTTTTTTCTTTACCTTACATTAGATTTGTCATTGCTGTTAAAGAAAACCATCATCATATAAGAAAACAATTATTATTGATATTTCTCTTGTCCTCCTGGGTCAGCGAACAGTCAGTGCTGAAAACAGAAGCGTGCTTGTCATTGAACTGGGTGTCAGCTGATAACAAGTGTAAAGGGCTGTATACCAGAAGTCAGGTGACAGGACAGGAAGGGTAGGATATATATCAGACAAGTTACATTTTCTTATTATTCAATCAGTACTGGTGTGTCTCCAGGTGTATGGTATTATTCTCATACTGAAGCAACTACAGGTTTCTCTAACAGTTCATGATGTGGTATTTTTGACTCTACAATTATTTACAAAATATGACAGAAATATACTTGAATGTTACGACAAAGAACTGCAAAAAGAGTGGTTGAATTCTACACGAGACTAGTCCTCCATGTTGTCACTGGGTGGTGCTGAGGTCTTAATCTGAGAGCGGCTTTGTAATCACAGAAATTAAGAAAAAGAATAATCAAAAACAGTTACAGTTTATTGTAACGCTTCTGCCTCAAACCTGAAGTAAGGTCTACCCTGCTACTCCAGAGCTTCTGACAAACCTCAGCCTTTTCTGCTTTCTTTTAAAATGTTTTCCTCCTTTTTCTACTTATATGTCTGCTAATTGTTTAAATATGTATCAGCAAGGCGTCTCTAATTCTGTACATGCTTGTTTTAAAACACTAGTGCATAAAGCTGCCTTTCATTTTATTCTAGTTGTTTACTGCAAATAGTAATATAAAGTCATGTTTAACTAGATCATGTGATGAAACTGATGCTACCTACTGGAACAGACTGCATAAATGTGAGTGCTGCGTGAATTGAAAATGAACGCTGCAAACATGTTTTCCACTCGTTCATGGTTTGGCCTGCTGCGCCGCGGTCACTGTAGGCATCATCGTCAGAGTTTTAATCAGTTGTCATTTCATTGTGCATAGTCTCATAAGTGTAATTTGTGAACAAGGTTTTGGTAACACTGCTTTAAAGTGGAATTTATAGTTGTTGCTAAAACAAAAATATTATTGACAGAAAATAAACAAACAAAAAAACTTTTAACTAATTTATAAAAAGTACATTCTAAAGATCATTTGGTTTCAGATTTTAATAAAATGATTTGCTGCATTTCATTTAAGGTGAGCAACTTCAGGTTTATAAAAAAACCCCGACAAAGTTAAGTTTCAACAGATAGCTATAAACGTAAAATAAAAATGTGGAAATCATAATTACTTAACACATTCCAGCACTGCTTTGATGAACTGATACAGCCAGTAGTCTGTGCATGTCACAAAATATTGTTATTTTGAATCACTGAGTTTTACCAGGAATATTGTCGTACAGGTTTTAGTGGTCATTTAAAAAACAAAAACAAAAAAAAAACACATCAAGGTGATGAAGGCAGACAGGCAGAATATACTGCTTTCCTGTGGGGCAGGTAACATCAAACCCTGTTCCAACTCCTTCCTTCCTGGTAAGCACAACAGAGCACTGAAAACCAAAACAGCCAGAGACAAGAACAGTTTGTTCCAACAGGATGAACTTTTCAATCACTCTAACTACCAGAACAATTCTTTCTGAATCACAACCCTGAAGCACTCTATATACTGTATATCACATTTGTTTGTATTTGTTCCCTCATTTCTGTTCCATTGCTCTATTGTCCATCTACCTCATGTATAAGATGGCAGTCTCTCTGTATTTATTGTTAAAAACTGTAGTTTGCACAAAGCTTTGGTTCTCTTCAAACATGCTCTTTTAAGCATATCTGTAGCAGTACATGCAGTTAGATCCCTGTGAAACTAGGGGATGAGGGAAGTCGTAAATGATGTAAAAAAAAAAACTGTGTTGAAGAAATAGGAAACTGATTGTATGAGAAAAAGCTATTTATTTCCAATCAAAGCAAAAATATATTCCACTTAAAGCAGGCTTCTAAAAAAAATGATAAAGCTGATCCGAAGTCTGCAAACCACCACACATGCCAGTCTGAGGCAAGACAGGAAGACACCAACACCACAAAGCACACTGGCTGCCAATTTGGCCCAATGGCAGCAATGATCAGGGCGGCCTCGCTTTGTAGAAACTACTTACTCTCTTGCCGGATTGGCCATTGCCCCCTACATGGTTTTTAGTGTTCCTGTACTACATTTTGAGAGACATTCAACCTGTTTACTTTAACAGCTTCACACACCTCTACACTTATTGGATAACGTGGGTAGGACTGTCAGATAGTTTGAACTTGTATACAGCCCCACAATTGTTGTAGAGTTCAACAAGCAGTTGGTTTATAGCATATCAAGGCTTTAGAAAAAGAAGTAATGATAATGCTTGTTTGCTTTGTACTACAGTGTTGGCTTCTGCAGACCAAAGATTTAAAATATGTAGGCACACTTATTTCTCAAAGAATCAAGATGGTTATTTGAGTCATACTTTATCATCTGTTCTGATAGTAAAGAGGAACACTCGGGGCATTTACGCATCTATATTTCACTATTTTATCTGAGAGAATGGCTTTGTCTTAACAAAACCCCAGTAACTCCTCTGAATTGTTCAAGATCCATTGGGTTTCAAGATTCCTTGTATGCTCCACTAACACCAGTGAAGCATGGTATTTAAACTCCTCCTTTAATGACTAGCTCCTTGGATAAATGTGATATTCTCATCTGCTGCAAAGTGTGGGACTGGGAATATTTCCATGTGTCCATGGATGACAGTAATCCCAGTTGCAACTACAGCTGATGCATCTATAGCTTTGTTAAACATTGCCATGCTGGAGATAATGTGTTGAGTATATAATTTACTACGACCTCTGTCACATTAACAAGCGCTAAATGCAAGTCATCCACACCCATAAACAAGCCAGCATGTGCCAAGGATTATGCTGATAAAACAGTGGCTGTAAATGTTGGTGACTTTTGATCAGACTCAAACACACGTTGAATACGATTCATGTAAATTAGACTCACCTTGTTTCAATAATTTCAGCATCCTCATCTTTCTTGTCCTCTTGCCTGTGGCCCAGAAATCCACCTTGATGCAGCATCACAAAGAATGTGTCTCTTCCTAAAATGCATTTCAAGGACCAAGGATCAAAGAGGCTGGTGGAGGAACTATGAGCGAGAATGTGTTAGTGTATCCTCTGATCCAATATCCCATTTCACTAAATGAGCTAAGGGGTGGCAGACGGCTTTTATTGTCGTATAATTTGCATCTGGTGTATTGTCTTGTATTGTTCTGAGTGTATTTATTTTGTTGAGTTCTGAGTTTTGTGTTTTTTTGAGTTTGTGTTCACATATTTACATTGAGGTTTGTGTATTTTATAGGCCCATCTGGGGATAGGCAGAGCAATTTGCTCCTCCTCTCACCTTTTTAAAAAGGCATTACTCTTGAGCCAAGTATTCCTGATAATAATAATAACAATATAGTTAAATACTATATTTCACCTCACTGAACAAAATGCAAGTCAGTAAAAAAACAAAACATCATGCACCATTGTAGTCTAGAAGCTTTTTTGCAGAACACCTTAAACTGGATTCAGTCTGTCCTGTCTGAGGGCATGCCTTTCCAAAACTGCATTTTTGGGCCTTAACTACAGTGCCACCATGTGGCTGAATGGGCTCATATTTCTTGGAAAACATTTGTACATAATTTCCAGTTATTTGGTCAAGTACCAGCTCATTGCAGCTCATGGTAATCTGAGCTCTGGCATAAAAGGTAAAATAATAACAACAACAATAAACTGGCACAAACTTATTGGGCTTTTAATTTCGTTGTACTTCGTGTAGGATACCAATAAAAAGCATTCTATTCTACTCTATTCTATTCTATTCTATTCTATTCTTACACCTCTATTGGATTAAAACCCCAAAGTCCAATTCATGATTTCTGCATCCACACAAGACTGATGTGGAGTTTGAACACGGACAGCAAACACAGTTTCATTCATGTTACAATAGGTACATGTTGGTCTGCTACACAGTCCCTTGCTCATCATACCGAACACAGAAATCTGTGGACGTGTCCAAAAGTATGACTGTGACTTTGCACTTTATAAAGGGTACAGCAGCTACTCACAGATTGAGCGGTAGCACCATGTCAATATGATTATTCTTTAGGCACAGTGATTGCACAAGATGTCTGGAGAATTTAGAACTTCCCACTGTGTTTGAGCTCTGTTGACGGAAAGCCTGTACACATCAAACCAAGTCCAGTAACTATGTGAAATACAACAGTCTTCATGTGGAAGATTAAGAATGTCCTCATACAGTGCACAGCACACGTGGTCGCAAACATAGCCTGCATGGAGACTTGCACACCCTTGTAGACACAGAAAGCATTGGTTGCTCTTCAGCACAAACGCTATCGGGTCAATCCTTTCAGGGTTTGAACCTGAATGAGGCAGAGCTGGTGCAATAAGAAACTATCCTTTCTACCCCTTAAATTTGTGAGTGTATTTTTATATGCAGTGTATACAGTACACATCGTACTGCATTTAGAAAAACAGTTGTTTTTCAGGCAAGTTCAAATAATGCCACATATTAACAAGTTAGAATAATAACTTTATTAACACATTTTCACATATTTGTATAACATATGCATACAGCGTTTCCAGTTTTTTTTGGCCCGTTTGTGTAAAGGTTTGTTACTTTTTTGATTTCTTAGAAACAACATCCTGCTGTTGGTGCAGAACACTGTTTCATCTAAGAAACATCGACATGAATGGCTTAGTGGTTGAATTCTCATTTTGTACAGATGACCCTCACTTTTAAAGAAGCAAAACATTCTGTATGCTGTGGCAAATATGCACCTCATAAAATGATCCTTCTGAAGGCTATGATGTGTGTGGTGTATCTGTGTCAGCACCAACTGCCTGCTGTTCTGCCAACATATCTGTTAGTTCCAGCTCGAGCACTGGACTCCTGGACTCTTCTGATATCTGCAGGACAAAAAAAAAAAAGCACTGTAAGCACACATCGTTTAAAATGATTAATTTAAAAATCACATTCTTTGGAAAACTTCCTATGCTTGAGCACCACTAACACTTATAAATGAGAAATATACCAGGTTAAAACCAGAATTACCCTTTAAGACTAAACACTTTTAAAGTCACTTTTAAACTGCGTTGAACCACTTTTCTGTCAATCTTGTCAGCATTCTTAAAACCATCGCTGCCCTGAAATATTCACATCATCACCAAAAATGTTCACAATCTGAGAAATGATAGATCAGTGTTGGCGTGTCTATAAGCGACTATCAATACTATTATGCACAAACTGTTCCACTGAATGACAACTTGATAACCTGACAGTAAGTTTAATGACCACAGAGTCACAGTGTTATAAAATGAAGTGTATAGATTTTATTCTGAGCAAATTGCAGGACAACTTTTTCGTCTTTTCGGGAAAATCAGTATCCAGTTTCATCATATACGCCTAATTTACTTTAATATTACTATTTCCTGTTGAGCTTCAGTGAGTGATTTTACTGTGTTTGAATAATGTTGGTGAGCTGATGTACCTGAGCTGCAGTAAATAGGTGGGACTGGGTGGAGAGAGACATGGTGACTCAATAGATCGGCACAATCTAGATGAACCAACAGTGTAGTTACATCTTACCGATTTTAGGAAGGGATTTTTTTTTTGAATGAAATGAACTTTGATACACCAAACAGTGTTTTGGTAGCTGGAATGTCCTGGGTTCAATTCTTGGCCTGAGGTCATTCTGTGTGGAGTTTGCATGTTCTCCTGGTGCCTGTGTGGATTCTCACTGGGTGCTTTCTCCTAGAGTCCAAAGACATGCTGAGGTTAAATGGTGATTGCATATTGCCCGTAGGTGTGAATGTGAGTGTGCTTGGTTTTCTGTCTCTCTTTGTGGCCCTGTGATAGACTCTTAACAGTGTCCAGGATGAACCCTGCCCCTTCACCCTAAGTCAGCTGGGACAGATTCCAGCACGCCCACAAGGGGACAGAGGAGAAAGCAGGGAATAGATAATGGATGGATGGATAATGGATAATCAATTCCCGCAGAGACTTTAATACTTTGTTTTAATATATAATTTCTCACTGAAGGTTATGGAATATTTGGACAGGTTGTGTGACTGTGAACTTTTGTAATCTCTGAAAAATCAAATTTTGAATTTGAAACATCCATCCATTTTCTATTTCTTTTGTCCTGAGGAGGGCCCTTGGGGAATTTGAAACAGTGTGTTGGAAATTTAGGGACGTAAAAAAGCCTAAATCTAAAAAACAAAAAACAAAAAACAAAAACCCTTTTCGCTCAAGTGAAAAAGTAGTTTGATCCATAAAAAGATATGAAAAAGTTTTTTTTGTTTGTTTTTTTTTCTTCTTCCCATAAATGCTTCAAGTAACTAACACAAAAGGCCTGATCCACCTAGTACTAAACGGCAATAATATAGAAAGATCCTCACAAAGTGAATTTCTTTACGTCTCAGGATAAGTCCCTCTTTGAGTAGAGCCTTCCCAGTCTCCGTAAACAGAGCAGAGTCATCCATCTCGCTGTTACTCTTTAACTCTGTGTACTTCTCTACAAACCTGTTGGTCAAAGTAAAAGAAAAGCAAACATTTAGTACTGTCGATGGACACCGTTAATTTGGATCATATTTTAAAATATATGGAAACATTTCATCTGTTTAAATATATATACACATACAGTTATGAACAAAAGTTTTCATACACTCGTAAAGACCATGCATATCACGGCAGTGTTCATATTCCAATGACTCCTGTAACTTTTAATTATTCATGGTGGAATAATTTAACACATGCATCTTAAAAAAATTTCAGATCACCTACAGATAATTATTGAAGGATCAAAATGTATGTGTTTTTTTTTTGTGAGAAAGATGCATTTTTTAAAAAACACATTCTTGGTATCTGGTGTGTCATTCAGATGGTAGGGTCAGAATTTGGCATAAATAACATGAAACTATGGATCCATCCTGCCTTGTATCAACGGTTCAGGCTGGTGGTGATGATGGATAGTTTGTTGACTCACTTTTGGCCCCTTAGTACCAATGAAGCATTATTGAAATGCCACAGCCTACATGCACACGCACGCACACACGCACACCTGCACACATACACACCTTTGTTTTTACTTTTTTTATAGAACACCACCAAACATACCTCTGACATGTAGAAACAAAGTTTGATTTGGAGAGATCGAAAAACTCCGCCTCATACTCCTCATAGAATCTCCTGAAAGACACACAATTGTGGTGAGTGGAGCCGTTATAAATTCCTCTGAACTTCGACTAATGACATGAGCAAAAACTGACTTTCAGACAAACACAGATCTCTCTGTATATCCAAATGAGCATAAGTAAATGGCAAATTTCATTAACAATTTCTAACAGTCATATTAATGTAAATCACTTAATATATTTCAATGGAACTAATACATTTTTTAAAAAATGGCTGAATTAAACTACTGTCTAAGGACATAATGTGCATATGAAATCTTTCAAGTACTTCAGCAGATGCACAGTGTTGCTTAGATAGAGAGGAGTGGTCTTGAACTTCCATCCAGCACTGATGATTCCGATGATGGTCGCCACAGAGATAAACGATTTTTTAGACAACTGAGATTAATCCTTTAACTTGATATCACTGCAGCAATGGTAGAAGTGCCTGTGTTGCACTAAATGAAATAGTACACACAAATTACCACATATCTATCAAATAAGTAAGTAAGTAAATAAATAGTGAGAGGGGGGAATGAATCACAACACACTTGATCAATGTGTTATTTTTACAGTGATAGTAAAAAGCCCATTCAAGATGGAATGGGCAAACTGCTGTGTCTGAAGCACTGCTACTTCAAGGTTTCTTTATATCACTGACCAAATTCTCATCCAAACTACTTCACCCCCACACTGACTGCATAAGGTTATTAAAATGTTAACATTAAAACTCCTATTTAGCAAACGCTTCGAGACAACTAACCAGCCCCAGGTTAACCCTCATTCTATATAATGCATTCAGTGATTCACCTAATGATCTTTTTTGTTTTTAAACAGGGGCTGCAAGGTGGCTCGGTGGTTAGCACCATCGCCTCGTAACTAGAAGATCCCCAGTTCGCATCCCGGTTAAAACGCCTGGGATCTTTCTCTTTCTATACACCGCTTAATCCTCACTAGGGTCGCGGGGGGGCTGGAGCCTATTCCAGCTGACTTAGGGCGAAGGCAGGGGACACCCTGGACAGGTCACCAGTCTATCACAGGGCCACACTTGGAGACAGACAACCAAGCACACTCACATTCACACCTACGGACAATTTAGAATCACCAATTAACCTCAGCATGTCTTTGGACTGTGTGGGAGGAAGCCGGAGAACCCGGAGAGAACCCATGCTGCACAAACCCCACGCAGAAAGATTCCGGTGCCCCCACCGGGACGCGAACCGGCAACCTTCTTGCTGCGAGGCAACAGTGCTACCAACTGCGCCACCTTGCAGCCCCAGGACTTTATCCTATTTTTTTTCTAAACAATTTATGCTATTCAGCTCTCCCATCATTTGATATAATGCTGGTAGCTTTATTACAATAGCTTTTAATCGAGGAAAGAAACATATTTTGTGTTATGAAAAGTTATTACCTGCATCTCACCAGACACCAAACTGTCCAAAATCTAGCAATATCACAGTCATGATGCTGTGGATACTGTATGACCTAAAGATACAGCGCCCTCCATAATTATTGGCACCCCTGGTTAAGATGTGTTCTTTAGCTTCTAGCAAATTCAGTTTTTTTCTAAATAATATAGGACCACAATGAAAAAAAGAGGAAAATTCAACCTTTAATTCAAATGCATTTATTCAGTGTGAAAAAAAATCCCACATTAAAAAATAATTCTTTTACATCAAATCATGTGTGCCACAAATATTAGCACCCTTGATGTTAATACTTTGTACAACCCCCCTTTTACCAACAATTCATTTGAGTTGAGTCGAAGGTTACATTTTTCTACAATTTTCAGTGTGAGAATATGCTTCTGCAATAAAAAATGAATTTATTTTAAGGCTTCTAACACATCTTAACATGGGGTGCCAATAATTATGGAGGGCGCTGTATATGTGCTCACTGCCTAACAGAAATGAATGTCATTTTATTCACTTCAGAATTTGCATCAAGTAGCATACCTGCAGAGGTGGAAAAAGGAGAAATGTAAATATGGACACAAAAATGGTCTATCAGGCTAGAAGTGTTAAATACTTCTCTTTCAGCTGGGGTACGCTGTATTTTTTTTGGGGCATCACTGGGTAAAAATTCCATACCAACCTTTCGGCATATTGTAATTCAAGTGGTCTGAGAGAAAACTAGATCTCTGCCCCTCCTCTTGGTTCAGTTTTCAGACTTTAGAAAATCTAGTGTATGAAAGGCGACTTTAAACAATCACAGTTCTTTTCACTTGGAGCTTGATGAAATAGTAAAAGTAGCAACAAAGTCCATGATCAGAGAAGTGTTGATAGTCCTGGCAGCCTATATCATGCTATGAGTGAGGACGCTGTCACATTGTTGAGTCGCTGCAGCCTAAATGTAGTTACATTTTTAGGTTTCTCCAGACCTATCCATCCTGACCACTTTACACTTGACACAGCACTTCCTCGAGTCCACAGCAAAACACCTCCCAAATTTGAAGCGGATCAGAGCATGGTTGTCAAAAGAAAAACAAACAAACAAAAAAAACAAAAACGAAGAACTGACACACATACAAAGAATCCTTGATGTAGTAGTGAGATTCATCCATCACAGAGTCGGCATAAGGAAGCATAACTATTGTTATCACTGTGAGTGGTTGACTTACGCTCTGACTTTATCCTCTCGGTAGAAGATCTCAGATACAGTCTCCTGTTTCTTGATGTCATGTCTGGCATGTGGCTTCACATAACGTGGGTCCCTCTTTGGGGGGAAAGCCTCGTACACGTCGTACCAAATGGGTTTCTCTGACTGCTTTATGACTCCAGAGCGCATCAGATCTCGAACCCTGTTGATCAAGCCATCACAAAATGATTAAATGAATTCACTGATTGCAAATCTTAACTTTGTAACTTTATATCAAAGTTGAAATTCAGACAGTTGCTTAGGGGTAACATAGCATAAAACAAGTGCATAAAAACAGTAAGACTTGCATCATTTAGCTTGTAACTAATGAACAGTGGCTTAATAGGTGCAGTGAGTAGTGTCAGCTCATTATTACATTTTGATCACCGTTCCTGAGGCTTAGCTTTTTGCTTACTCAGATTCTCAGCCCTCCTTTGTACCAACATTTCTTTCACTCATTTGTCATTGTTGTTCATACACCAAACTATGAAGGAGAACAGAGCTGTTTGGTTTGGTCCATCACTCACTAGGTAGTAGATAGAAGACTCATGAAGGATGAGGGCAGATGACTGAAAATACAGTTCAGTCACTCCTTGAATGCAACAGTGAGGCATCATTATGATATCTGTAATGATCTCTGCTGCATAAACAAACATCTGCACCACATCAGAGCTAATAGCCCACTGTTTGTGTTTCACATAAGTACATGATGCAACGAGAATATCTCTCCACAGCACTGAAATACATTATATAATGTAATATTAGTCACATTTTGGCTGTACTGTATCCATCTGGGCTCCAGTCCCCCGCGACCCCAATGAGGATTAAGCGGTGTATAGATAATGGATGGATGGATGTATCCATCTGCATAGCTGTAACTATACTATCATATACAAACCTTCAATATATTCATTGTGAATAACAAAGCCGTCATTCACCTCAAAGCAACTGTTTTCACAGCAGCAGTAGTCCCGCTGCTGCTACAACTGACGAGCAAATATTTCACAAGTGAGCCGATTAACAGCGTGTTATGAACATATTGACAATTTAACCGAGCAAGTTAAGTTTCAAATATGTTTCTGAAAGGTGTTTATACTGTTTTTTGAACTCCTGCGCAGACAGAGGAGGAGAAGAGCCATTTCACAGCTGAGACGCTCGCCCGACAATCTCGTAAGGTTATGAGGCTACTTTAGCTAGCAGCTAATGCTAGCGCGTCAGCCTCTTCTGCTGACCGCACACAGGCCGCAGCGTCTGACGTTCAAGTCGGTCGATGCAGGGTAAAGCTCCTGCACACTACATTTTGGTGCGCCTCAACATTACTGTCGCTGTTGTGCACAGCGCGAAATGAACATAGGAGAATTGGAACAGCACTTTAAAATGGCTGATACACCATCGAACATGGCTCAATGTGAATCGCATACCTATGATGTCATCATAAGGTCACATCTCTTTAACCACGTGCCATCGAGACACAACAATGTGCCATCCATGAATTTTGGTATATTACTGATGTATCGCTAGCGTATAATTAGTCCGTGTTGCTCGACAAGCTATCAATGTCAGCTAACAAGACTGACAGCATCATCGATCCTGCCTATTTAGGATCACTGATTGCTATTAACAACACCTTGGATCTGTGAAACAGAATTGTTATCAGTAGCTATTCCGAATAAAGAACACGCAGTCTGACATATGAAACATCGCTTTCACTTTGTTTGTTGCTTTAACAACATCATCTTTTCCGATCATTAAGATAGGCTAAACGTAACGTTAGTTCTCTGGTTACTTAAGAATTCTAAGCACATATCGAGTAAAATGCTGCTCTCTTACCGGGTGAACACAGTTCCAAACCTCTCCAGTCTGCTGCCAGCCATTTGACCTTTTTCGTTACAGCACTACACATAAGACTGTTTGCAGGTAGCTGCGCTGACATGGACCATCGTTAGAGAAAACCCGGTAAAGCCAGCCGCCGTTTGGATTTTGTTGCTTGTCTTGTCATGCAATTACGGCACGGGTGCCTAGAGCGGCCAAAATGGTTGCATGTGCACACGAAATGCATCTCACGATAAATGTGTAAAATGGTGTCTAGTTAAGGTTTGCCAAATCTGAGCTGATATGTTTAATTTTTCATTAAAGCATAGAGCTTGGTACACTTATGCAGTTTGATGCATTGAACATTTTCAGAAATTGATTCATTGCAAAAACGGATAAATTATAAAAATGTGAACACTTTCGAGGATAGTATTAATATGTGTGGGTCAATATATTTAAAGCCAGCAAGGCTTGATGTTAGATCATTAGCTGTGTTAAGCATAGATATACATACATATGATATTTTCCAAACCATATGCAGTGGATGTCACAATAATATGAAACAAAACATATAGAATAGTTTTTAATGTTCAAATATCACCTGAGCACATAAAAGATAGAAAAAAAAAAGAAGTATTTTTGCTTCACTTTCACAACTGATTAAGCAGATATGACATGTTTTACTCCAAAAACAAAAATATCACTTGATAGCCTAATCCAAGTAGACCACAGTTTTGGAGTTTCAGAAAGGTTCTCCAAAATAACTGACAGTGTTTTTTTTTTGTTTTTTTTTTAAATATAGGCATATTTTTTTTATTTCTGAAGGCGGCCATCTGCCTTGACTGGTTGGGGTAACAGTAAGGTTGAGGGGGGTGGGGGAGTGGTTGGGATGAGGATAACAGGATAGCAGATGAGGAATAGAAAAACAATACAAAAAGAACAATGACCATTTTGGAGGTTGGTGAGGCCAGTGACTGCAGATTGACGGTGTGATCCTGAGCAGTCCTAACTGTAAGCTTTATCAAAGGGAAAAGTTTTAAGCCTAATCTTAAAAGTACAGAGCGTGTCTGCCTCCCAAACACAAAGTGAAAACTGATTGCACGACAGAGGAGCCTGAAAACTCTGGGAACCACAAGTGAACCTGCATCAAATTGTTGTGTTCTCCCCATGTAATGTGGGTTCTCTCCGGGTTCTCCAGCTTCCCCCCACAAGTCCAAAAACATGTTGAGGTAAACTGATGATTCTAAATTGTCCGTAGGTGTGAATGTGAGTGTGCTTGGTTGTCTGTCTCTAAGTGTAGCCCTGTGATAGACTGGCGACCTGTCCAGAGTGTCCCCTGCCTTTGCTCTGAGTCGGCTGGGATAGACTTCAGCTCCCCCGCGACCCTAGTGAGGATTAAGCGGTCTATAGATAATGGATGGATGAATGGAGTACACTTTGACAAAAGACAAACATTGGAAAAGCAAATAGGCAACGTGTTATATAAGAATAAAAAGGGATAAATCTGATGTGTATCTTCTTGAGAAATTTACAGGGTACTGGTCGGAAAACACAATTAATGAATGACTATATATCCAGCATCATGAAGTGCTTTAATGCGCACTCAGCTCTCAGCATTTTACCATTCTGAACAGGAATGAGGATGAGGTTTTTTTACCCAAATTTGAGTCAGCTCACTGGGATTCTCTGAAAGTCAGAAATTAATCAAGCATAGCATTCAATCACTAAAACAATTTATTCTGTTCAGGAATGCAAGTAAATAATTAGAATTTCACAGCTTAATCAAGAAATAATAATGTGCTTTACTATTTCTTCTGTTTTTTGTAAAACAGTAAAATTCATGGATAACAATAAGATTTACATTATTGTTTCAAAATTTTTATTTTAGTAAAAGAGCTTCTACATACTGGTGTATTAACCAATACAGAAACATAAAAAATGATTTCGGTAATTACCAATGCTGTTAATTTAGGGCAGCTGTGGCAAAAACGTTACACTGGGGGGTGGTCTAAACCTTACACTGGGTGGTGGTCTAAACCTTACACTGTAATAAATACATTTGTTAAGCACTGTATATATGAATGTGAGAATGTGTGTGTAATTGTGCTTCAGCATATACATACAGGTGACAAATGAAAAACCAGCAAAGTACCTGGTACCAGTAAGGTGTTGGGCCACCATGTCCTGTCAGAACAGATTCCATGCTACTTTGCATTGATTCTTCTAGTCTTTGGAAATTTCCAGAGTGTCTTCTAAAAGATATTTCCCAATGTATTATTTTGATGATGCTGGTAGAGAGCACTGTCTAAGACATCGGTTAAAACATTCCCATAGGTGAACAACTGCATTTAGATGTGGTGACTGAAAGGCATTACATGTGATTCATATCATTTTCATCGCAGCATTTAGTGACCCCTCATGCTATATGAATGGGGTCATTGTCATCCTGGAGAGGATCACTCCCATCAGGATAGAAAAGTTTAATCACAGGATAAGGGTTAAAGAGTCAGAATACCTTTGCATTGATTTGCAGTGACCCTTCCCAAGGGGACACGTAGACCCAAACCATGGCAGCAAGATACCTCCAATAACAGGCCTACCTAGTCCTTTTACAGCAGGGATTTTACCTTTAATGTGTCAATTTTGGTGGGCCTGTGCAAATTGTAGCCTCAGTTTCCTGGTCTTAGCTGACAGGAGTGATAGTCTGTGTGGTCTTCTGCTGCTGTAGCCCATCTGCTTCACGGTTCGATGTGCTGTGTTTTTAGAGATGGTCTTCTGCATACCTTGGTTGTAACAAGTGGTTATTTGAGTTACTGTTGCCTTTTTATCATCTTAAACCAATCTGGTCATTCTCCTTTAACTACTGGCATTAACAAGTCATTTTCATTCAGAGAGCTGCTGCTCACCGAATATTTTCACTTCCTGGACCATTCTCAACCCTCAAGATGGTTGTGTGTGAAAATCCTAGTAGATTGACAGTTTCTTATATAGTCAGACCAACCCCTTTGACACAAACAACCTTGTCATGTTCAAAGTCACCTTTCTTTTGCATTCTGATGCTCAATTTAAACTTCAGCAGTGTGTCTTGACCATGTCAGGTGCTACCATGTGATTAACTAATTAGACATCTGCATTTTTGAAGTGTTTAATGGATGTATGTCATAAAGTGGCGGGTGAGTGCTAATGTCTGTGTGCTTACTATGCATGTGATGTAGCAGTATCATCCTTTTGGTAAACTTTAGTGGTCTTGTCAGCCTCTGTGGTGATCATTTAGTTTTCTGAGTAGTCAAACAGGCAGGTGAAGATTCTTGACTCACTGTCCAGAGATTCAGGTTGAACACCTGCATGGATTCTTTGGAAGTTGTAGGCTGTCCTCCAGGTGAACATGTTGCTACTGGTCTACTTAATATTGTGTAAGAGTGAATGCTGCCAACTTCTACTATGTAGAATGTCAAAATCCTAAGCATTGATATGGTACTGTGATTGAAGTTAATATTTAATTATTAATCCAAATATGAATTTGATAGTTTCTTGTATTTTATGGTATTGATTTATAAGACTGACCTATTGATTCAGTCAATTTTTTTTCAGTCAAATGTGGTGCCCCCATTTATGGGGATTCATTTAATAACCTGGCAACAGGGTTGCACCTATAAAAAAAATCATCAACAAACCAATCTGCAATGAATTAGAAGCTGCTGGAATACAAGTGTCAGTGTTTATGATCAAGTGTGTTTTACATCACCATGGGTTGAGAGGCTGCTGATCACACATATATATATAAAGGCCGTATGGAGGACGTTTCTGTGGTCAGATGAAACAAAATGGAGCTCTTTGGCCAGAGGTGGACTGGGGCAAAAAATCAGCCCTGGCATTTTTGGGCCAGACCGGCCCATAGCATTAATGGTTGACTGAATCAAGCACTGATTTTTGAATGCAAGGACAAGAACTGACAGAAAGGTTGAATTTTCAGAACAAAAATTCCAAGACATCTTCAGAGACCTATACAAACTTGTTGACAAGCTGGAAAATAATTGCAATCCAGTTGAGCAAATACACTATCTGCATATAGATGCTCTGGTTTTGTTGCTGTAGTGACACCTATTGGACAATAGATTGTATACTCACCAAATTAAAAAGGCTCTTTTGCCCAAAAGCTGTTTTTTTAAATGGCCATTCTATGCTTTGGCTTGATGTCTTGGGCTGGCTCTCGCTCTCAAGTTCTTCAGTTGACCTGCCCTGAACCTGGCTGAGCTGGACATGGGTAGAGAGAGTATTATTGGATGAGGAAATAGATAAAATACTAAAAAAAAACAAAATAAAAACAAATTATAATTTGCAAAAACACACAGGAGCCATTCTCAAAATGAGTAACAACCACCTTTTTGGAATCACACACACAAAAAAAATATGATTTCATATGATAACATTTTTGCGAAGCTCTGTACATATACACTTAGTGGCCACTTCATTAGATACACTTTTCCAATCTGTTGCAGTCAAATACATCAGCTCTGTCATACATCTTACATTAACAAAGCTTTTACATTTTCAGTTTTTGTTGCAAAGGTTATGGTTCTACTTTATCTTTATTATTGAGGTTGTAATGGGTGGTGGCATATTGGAATATGGCATACTGGAGTGAAATATATTGAAAAGTGTTCCTAATATTTTGTCCCCATTAATGTATGTTCATGGATGGGACGAAGGTATAAGGAACACACAGCTCTGAGATTGAGCTAGAGCTAGATTGCACAGGTGTACCTAATGCAGTGGCCAGTAAGTGTATATCTACATATAAAATAACTAATGAATTAATATATCTGTAATAAAATATTTGAGACTGACAGCATCAGCATGCAAATAGCTATGACTGGTAATGGATGTGTTTAGCATAACTCAGTGACTGCTAAACTGCACATGACATGGCATAGCAATAGGCATGTTCGCGCTATTACACTAATAGGCTTATGTAAAGTGACACACATAATGTGTCTGCATAATCATTTTTGTTTTTGACCTGAGTGTGTCTTGAAAATGCATCTCTCTCTCAGCTAACTTCGCTAGTTGTTCTGCTTACAGATCTGTCATGCTCATTTTTATTGCTTTCCTCCGCCTCCATAGGCTCACTCTCCACCACCTGTTGTGTCACCGGGCACTCTTGCCCCATGCTGGTGATGACATTGCAATAAGTAGCCTGAAGCTGGGAGGGTAGCACCAGGATCAGGTATGGTCTGTCCTCCGCTATCGGTTGCTGCTGGCGCTGCAGCCCCCGCTGCTGTAGGACCAAACAGTTGAATTACTTTGGTGTATTTGGAGGCTTCAGTGTTTTAATTCTTAAATCTTTTTTAGCTTTTCAGCGCCACCGGGGCGTTTTTTCGGTGATTGTTTTTTCCATGTCAGACTCCTCACCTAATCTCACTTGCCGTAACTTGGTTAGCCCCGCCCATCCAGCAATTGGGTGATTGACAGGCCATTTATGACAGTTAACCAATGACATGTGTTGATGGCCTGTGCTGAATAGCCAGTCAGCCACACAACTGGACAGTAGGTCACATAACTGGCTGGCTAACTATGTAGGTGACCCTGGGTCACAGAAGCTAAATTTCAGGTGTGGGAGGAGTTTGGAGAGACTATGAAAATCGACTTTCAGTTGGCCTCAGGGAAGTTCTAGTAAATTATTTGATTCCTCAGAAAAGGGAGGCGGGGGGAGAACTACTGACCAGGACTGGGGACATTGTTGGGCAGTGAAAAGACCACTTTGAGGAGCTCCTTAACCTAGTTAACATGTCCTCTGCTGAGGAGGCAGGGCCTGAAGACTCAGGGGAAGCTTCGTCCATAGCCCTGATAGAGGTCTACTGGCTGTGACTCAGGTGGTAGAGCGAGTTGGTCAATGATCGGAAGGTCAGCGGTTTGATTCTGCCCTGTAACTTGGTTGTTGTGTCCTTGGTCAAGACACTTCACCCTGAATGTGTATGAATGGATTGTTTGAGGTGGTCGTCAGAGGCGCGGAAGGGCAGCCATGCCTCTGTAAGTCTGCCACAGGGCTGTGACTACAATCGTAGCTGGAATGAATGTGTGTGAATGAATAATTGACAGTGTAAAGCATCCTTGAGTGCCTAGAAAATGCTATATCTTAAACAGACTTTTAGCACTGGGAGATGAACGAGGGGCTTGTTCCCTTCACTCCATGCATCGACCCGGTACTGTAGTGCAGCCGGGAAAGAATAAAAAAAAATAAAAAATAGAAAAGTGCTATATAAATTTGATCAATTATTATTATTACTGCTAAAGTATGAAGTACCAGGGTCATTGTGATGGGCCTTTCAGTCCTTGTACAACCAAAGTAAGAGCTGTATTCGCATTTTCGGCACAAAGTCAAATGTGAGTCAGCATCTCTAAGTCCAAGGCCATAGTTCAGAAACTGGTAGATTGCTCCCTCTGGGTTGGGGGGGAGGAGCTGCCACAAGCAAAGGAGTAGTGTCACACGATCTTGTTCACGAGTAACGGGAAAATGGAGAATGCAATGGACAGGTGGCTTGGTGCAGTATCAACAGTAATGCAAACATGGTTCTGTTAGGGTTATGCTCTGGAGCTGTTTTCCTGCCAGTGGAACTGTTGCCTTACACAAAATAAAAGGAATAATGAAGAAGGAGGATTACCTACAAATTGTTCAGGAAAATCTAAAAATATTAGCCAGAAGGTTGGGTCTTGGACAAAGTTAAATGCTCCAGCAAGACAATGGCCCCAAACACACATAAAAAGTTGAAAGGAAATTACTAAATTGGGATAGAATTAAGGTTTTAGACTGTCCTTCCCAAAGTCCTGACTTATACCTCATCAAAAACCTATGGACTGTGCTGAAGAAAGAAGTCTGTGGCAGAAAGCCAACAAATTTAGTTTAACTGCACCTCTTCTGTTAAGAGGAGTGGTCATACATACAACCAGAAGCTTGTGGATGGCGACCAAACTGGAAATACCACCAGCAAATTTTGTTATATTGCCAGACAATCTATAATAAATTTATGAAAAAAACAAAATGTACAATTGTCTGTTGTGACAAAGACACATGTTTTAATGAGTCCATCATAGGCAATGAAGAGTTCTGTTAGCTGTTTGAAACTCAAGACTGCATAATAGGCATAGTATTTGCAAGTGTATATAAACATTTGTTCACAACTGTATATTCACATCACAAGTCTTCTTAGGGTATTTCAGTGTGTACATCAATCTACTACAGAGACATTGTTAGATTTTGTTTTATTTTTAGGGCATTTGTTTATATTTTAATGTTTTCCCATTTTTACATTGCTTGGCCTTTTGCCACTGAAGCACAGGCCCAAATAAGCAGCAGAAACAGACGGATGAATGAAGCAAATACAAAAATATACACATATGCAATAAGTCCAGTGTTTTCCTTGAAGATGAAACAAAAAGTGAAAATTTGGGGTTACAAGGTTTTGTGGGAATTTTACCCAAACAAGCTCCTACATACACATAGTGTGCACAACACCTTTAGTTTAAGCAGTTTATATAAAAGAGGATAATCCCACATATCAAAGATTGCATTATTTGTGTGACCCTAACCCAACATATTTTCCACTGTGCAACTGTGCAGACAATTTTTTTAAATGTTCCAGGATATTATATTGTTTTGTTACTTTATTTTCGCCTGGTACTGTTTAACAGCAGAACAAGCTGTGTTATTGCTGTGTAGAACAAAGGCGAAAGTGAACTTTAAACTCTCTCTGTCAGCTGACTACAGATAAGACTACTGTATGAGGCCCAGGCTCAACAGGGCCAGGAGCATGACACACATTACTTTACACACAAGGAAATAACATACAGCAAGCCTGCTAAATACATGCTGTTTTTCTGTTATATGTTCTCTCTGTTGTTCTTCAACTTTACCCTGAATAGGAAAGCCTCAGAACATGCAAAGATTTTGTGGCAGGATCTGAGACACCCTGAAATTAAAAAGAACGAAACAGACTGTCAGTGGGTGGCTTTTCTGGTTCCACAACTGAGTGAGAGCAGAACAGAGACAGGCAGGCTGGTAAAGCCAGGTTGAGTTCAGGAATGTCAGCACGTAACAGGGTGGTGTAGAGAGAGCGACAGAGGGAGGGAGCTTAAGAGAGGAGGGGCAAAGAGCAGGAGAGAAAGAGTCACAAATGCAATAATTACAGCTTAGGAGGAATGAGCCAGGTACTCTCCTGGTTTCACTGGCTACACACCGTTTAACTAACAACACTACAATACAACCATTGACAGGAAGGACAGTGGACCTTGGATTTTTTTCTCTCTAATCTCTTAGTTGTTGTTTTTAGTATACTTGTCCTTGGGATTTACTTTTTAACAGAATTTCACATTTTTCGACATGGATTTGCTCCTGGACTCTGGCTAATTATGACAAATTTTTTTCTTCCAATATCCCCGAAGTCAAACACAATCTTCCAAGCTCACCTTTTCAAAGAAGAAACAAGGATCAATTACCATGTCTGTGACTGCTCTGTTCAGGGGCAAGTGGGGGCAGAAGGCACAGGATGCCCAAGAAAAGCATCCTGCAGCTGTGGTTCAACCGAGCAATGAGGAGGACTATGATGAGGATGACTCCAAAGTTGGTTTCAGCAGAGAGCCTATCCGTAGGAACTCCCGCTTTTACCGGTCAATGAGGAAGAAGAGGCTGGCTTCATCCCAGCAGCCTGAAAGTAAGAAAACATCAGGCCCCAGCTGATGTCAGATTCATTTAAATTTAGGCTAATTGTTCTGGCCCTATTTTTATGTTATTTTTTTCCTAGTTCAAATCTATTTGAGCTTATTCAGCTAGATTAATTTAACATTATTGGTCTTTATTAAAATCATCACACTGCAGGATTTAGAATTTCAGTTATGACTCTGCTTTGGTGAAGCAGTGCAGTAGATACTGTACGTCACTGTTCTACATATTGTCTCAGACAATTGACGCAATTATTTTTGAATGTGGAAAAAAAGGCTTGGTAGTCCTATCCTTCAGTAGAAATCTACACAAATACAACCTGAGAAACTGGTTCTATTTAAATGGCTCATGGTGCTGAGTAATACCTGTACTTTTCACAGATCAAACTCTGACCAGACATCACAACAATATACCTAATGCCCTGTTGGCATTATTGAAATAAAATGCAAATTTGTTCTTGTGGAAGTTTTAATTGTTTTGTACTTTGAACACATCGATTATAGCTGTAAAAATCAATGTACTGAGCATGTGTTCTGTACATTAGTAATTACTCTCTAGGAGTGCACCATGTTCTTTGAGCCCCATCAAATGTAACAATAAACCATTTGAGTTTAGACTTTGCCCAGCATCTGGGATGGGCCTCAAAATGATCACTTAATACATAACTAGGAAGTTGCTCAGGAAAAAAAATAAAATAAAAAGCCATAAAACATAGAGGCAGTTTCAAAATGTCACAAAATTCAGTGGCTGATAACAAAACGGAAACTTAAACTAATGTCAAGAACACTGAAGTCCAAAGGAAATTATAAGAAAATAGGATATGATCATTGCATATCTTATCTTGTTACCAGCTAGCAGCTGCCCTTGACTGATAAGTACTGATAACTTTGTCTTTATTCAAAAGACAAAGTTATCAGTATGACATTCAGTCGTCAGGAATATGAGCATATGGTATGTGCTTTTATAGCATGTCTGATAAATGCATTATAGATAACATCTGTTGGCCACTTTCTGTAGTTTGTAATTCTACTTGCTCGGTTACATGCATTTTCATCACTTTATTTGTTTAAAGAAATAACAATGACTGCATAATTTCTTTGTCTTTTACATAAATAGATTTCTTACATCATTTAATGACAAGTCTCCCTAAATAAATCCTGTTTTGATCCATATTAATCAATTAATCAACCTCCTCCCATCTAAGCCACAAACCATTTAGTAGCAGGTAACTTCATCTCAGATTATTTCCTCTTTATGTTTGTCACAGCATGGTCCTGCTCTGGAGATTCATCTTCAGCCTCTTCATTGTTTTTGGTACTTTATTACAATTATGAAAAGTGCTACACCTGTTACAACCACTGATTCAGCAGGATTTTAAAGACCTGTACTATGAATTTTTTATTTTTTATTTTTATTCTCTAACTCATGGATGACATTTATATACACGAACCTGCCCACAAACAGTGTGTGGAGTGTGTATAGACAGCCTTATGTGCCAATGTTGGAGTAATAATAATGCTCGTAATAATTAGACTTATTTTTTAACTGAACAGAATAATACTCACAATTTGTTCAGTTCGTAGATAAAACTACATTTTGGTTTTCTCCAAAAACTTCTAGTTAATTATAGTATGTCTCTAAAATATCTAAAATTGAAGAATGTCACAACTGTTAGATCCTGATCGACCCTGTCTCTGTGTAGGAGATAATTATCAATTGGGAATAATTCACAAGGTAACCAGTGTTGTGGTAGAGTAATGCATAAATCAACAATTCCCTGACTTTGGAGACTTATTTGTAGGGCAGATGACATAGATGTACCATAAATGCAAGTATGTTTACCCTAATACTAAATGTAAAGAAGAGTCCTATGGACAAAGCTTTGCATCAATCTCGCATTTAGCAAGAGGAGAAAAATAATAATTTCCGATGCTTCCACACAGATGCACTGGACGGTACAATCAGACAATGAAGTTCCAATTATGCTCTGTATATGTATACGTACATGTATAAAATGCTGATCAGGCCGGGATGATTCAAATTTTTGTTTTTATTTAGACAGCAAGGGAAAAAGATCTTGGTGACTTTGAATTAGGTTTATTGTTGGGTACTGGGGCTGCAGGGTGGCACAGTTGGTAGCACTGCTGCCTCGCAGCAAGAAGGTTGCCGGTTTGCGTCCCGGTGGGGGCACCGGAATCTTTCTGCGTGGAGTTTGCATGTTCTCCCTGTGCAGCGTGGGTTCTCTTCGGGTTCTCCGGCTTCNTTCCTCCCACACAGTCCAAAAACATGTTGAGGTTAATTGGTGATTCTAAATTGTCTGTAGGTGTGAATGTGAGTGTGCTTGGTTGTCTGTCTCTAAGGGTAGCCCTGTGATAGACTGGCGACCTGTCCAGAGTGTCCCCTGCCTTCGCCCTAAGTCGGCTGGGATAGACTCCAGCCCCCCTGCGACCCTGGTAAGAATTAAGCGGTGTATAGATAATGGATGGATGGATGGATGTTGGGTACTGCTGGCAGGAGCTTCAGTCACAAAGACTACTCAAATTAATAGGGTTTCAATAGGCACAATGAGTAAACTGACATTTGCATTTGGATATATGAGAAAGACATCAGTTCATAATATGGGAAGTTGTGTTTTACGGTCACATTTGATAATTATGATGCTCATGCAACTCTTCCTCAGTTGTCTGAGAATGTAAATAGAGGATGTGATCAGGCAGTCAGCAATAACAGTTGTCAGCATTACACAGAGAGGAATATTTTATCAAGGCTGCAGTGCACAAACCCTCATTGGAAAGATGAATGCACATTTAGGCATTCAGTAGTACAAAAACCATCGGCATTGATCTACAGAGAATTAGAAAAAAAAAATTGTGATATGACCAGATGAGTATCATTCCCCATATTCTCAGCAGGTAGGCGAGTGTATGTGCAATGTACATCAAAAAACAGTACAGGTGGAAAGACATGACCTATAGTGACAGGATCTGGTGGCTTTGTTATGCTTAGAGGGAAATACCCTGCAAATAAATACAAAGTTGTTCTGAGCCATTACCTTCATCCTGAAGCATTTCTGTCCTGATGAGAGTGGTCTCTTCCAGGATGACAATGCCCCCATTTATATGGCACAAGGGGTCACTGAATAGTTTCATGGTATGAAAATGATTTGACTTAATTACTAGCACTATACTGCTTATACTGCGTGTTACTTTTGTAAATTGTGTAACTTGAAAACCTAAGGAGTTGGCAGTTGATTGAGGTTTCTAGATGTAAATTTCGTTGGAGGAGTTTGAGAAAGCTCCTACGCTAGAAAAGTATCATTGTTGTATTACAAATAATATATTGTTGATTGCTGAATACTTAGCTTTGATAATTGGATTTTTGGCAAGTTGTGAAACTTCTAATTCAAAGTATTACACTGCCTTGGTGGGTAGCGGTATTCTACCACAGTTGCAAAATACATCAAACACTCTAGAACGATATGGAAAACCGCTGGATAAAACTGTTAAACTGAAAGAACTGGTAGGTTGAAATACAGTGTCTCACTTTAAAAGAGAAAATCTTCCAGGATATTAATGAGCTAGAGATTAACAATTTTAACAAAGGTGTTACTTAAACTAGTTCAGTTAGATTTTGATAATGGTGAAAGTATTTGTTCGGTTCCTCTTTTTAAATAAAAGGATGCTGACAGTTGTTTGACAATGTTTGAGTGAGTAGCTTCTACACTGCTTAGGAATGTGTGGATAGTGATCAAACAGTGTGTCCTGCACAGGGAACTGTTCATCGTTGTTGGTGGAAGGTAGTCACAATTTTATCAGTTAAAATCTGCTGCGCTTAGGCTGTATAAGTTGGTGACTGAAGCCAAAAGTTTTGCGGATTGGGGAGTAAGGCTGCCAGACTTTAAAAAAAATTATATTGTTGGTGTATGTCTCAGGATATTAAAGCTTTTGCACAACTTAAACAGGTAATATTGATGGAAGTGTCAATAAATGAGAATAAAGTCTCCAATGTTGTTAAACTTGCTGTTCTAGTGGATAAATAAATTCTCACTATGTTACTGACCGTTCTTTGAGTTTTGGCAAAAAGAGCATTCATCAGTTTACTGACAATGGTAAGGATTATGTTCAAGGGTTGTCTGTACCATTTAAAAGAGGTACTGGTTTTGGTTCTGCAGAGATTACGAGCAAGTAGGAAGAGGAGGATTTGAACGTCAGAGAAGGTGTGATGGTTTTCTGTTGTAGTAAGGGTCATGTTGTTGTATATTGCCCCCTGCTGAAGTTGATAGTTGCAAGTTGATAGCTTTAATCCACAGATGAGAGAACACAGTAGATTGATCTATGAAGGTAGAAACTTTGGGTGAGGGGCAGATTTTGTTTAATTTGTGATGAGTTGTTTTGTCTAGTTGCCAGGTGACAGAGTGAAAGTTTATGAAAAAATGCCTGATTGAGTACTTGACACTACGCAAACCTATACAGTAACAACTTGTCAACCTCATGGTAGCCACACCTTAACATACAACACACCTTAACATCTGTTTTACTCTAAATAGAATTATTTACAAGAAGACATCATGCTGTATTGAAGGAGACTTGAAACTAGAGAGCGAGACCATAAACTCATTGGGAAAATGTTGTTTACAAACTGCTAATTCCCCCCTGCTGGTGTTTAGCCAGAATGCACTTTTCAGTCACTTTTGCAAGGGCTTCATTTTTTAGACCTTGCATTTCCATCCATCTTCATATATAATCTATGGTTATAGCCATATGTTCTGGTCTAGCCTTGTTTTCAAAATGTACTGGGAAAACATCTGTATCAAAATTACATGTTGTCTGAGGTTGTATATAGTCCCAAGGCAAGTGTGGCTGCTGTAGCTGCTGTAGCTGCTGTGGCTGCTGTGGGTTTGAGCGCCGACCCAGCGGTAAAACCCTGACGCTGCATTGGCCTTATGGTAGATAAAGGAACTGCCAGTGCTGAAGTAATTGGTGGGTCTTTGTTGTTGGTTTTGTTTCATGTCAAACTCTAAAGTGTTGCAAAACCTTCACATTAGATTATCACATCTCTGAGGTGAAGAGTCAGTTCTGTTAGCTCAATTGATGAAGTCAAGGTTTACTGATGTACCTTTTCAGACATATTTTAAAGCACGATATTGATGTAGGTGACTCAAAGCCTAATAAACACCATCTTTATCATGTAAACAAACATCGTTGAGTATATGGTGCAGCATGGAGTTGCTGAGCTGAGTTGTACAGCATGGAGCGCCCCATGTTTTTTAGCTGATAAAACCAATGGTGATGACTGTTTTCAGTACAGACTTTAGAAAAGTGAATGGTGTAGCAAAACTGAAAATATATTGACCTATCCTCAAAAAGAAACTGAAAGCAATGTCGCATCTAAAAACCTTACAGTTTTCTTTAGTGTACGATAATGGTCTTAGACATGCATAATTTGTTAGCCACTTTTCAGCATTTGGTGAATGTCATTACACGGGGTCTGTGATTTTGAGAGACATATCTTGAGAACTAAACATTCTAAGCATTTGTGTAAGGTGTTTGGTCATTTGGTGGAAGCCAGACTATTGTGGCCCTTCCTTGTTCCAAACATGCAAACTGAGCTTGCACCACACAAAACTACTTTTCAGCTGTAGCTGCACACTTAACTAATCTACTGAGTCCTAAAGTGAGCTTTAAGTTAATCAACTGTTAAGCAAACAAAACACCTCCTTTTTGACGACCTACTGCTTATGGCACCTCTGTATACTCAACCATTCATGCTGGCAGTGGACACAAGTGACAGTGGTCTGGGAGCAGTCCTTGTTCAAAAGGGAACAGATGGAGCAGACCATCCTTTTTTAAAAAAATAAAAAATTATGTAAACGTGACTGTCAGCAGAGATGTTATTTGATTAGAACAATTTGAAGTGTTTGTTGGCTTGTCTGTAGTTCCCCTTGGAGATTTCCCCCTTTCAAATTCACTTTAATAGTCACAGATTAAAGGACTTGTGCACTGAATACTGTACCTAGGTTTAATTACCACTCCCTGTTTGTGTCACAGGTGTCACATGATGTATTACAAATCCTGCTCTGTGTGTTGCCCTTTATACAAGGATTATGACTGGGACATTCTCACAAAAATGACATCATAAATAATTTTGGCAAATACCCAGGAAATGGTTTGTTTACATTTGAGTGACAGTACTGACAGTAGGAATTACATATGTACAGAACCACAAACTGGCATAAATGATATTATTGTGTGCTGTACAAATACTCACAATATGTATAGTAGTTGACTTTTACAATAAAATGGTGCATAGCCCCAAATATAAATGGAAAACAGGTATCACCTGATGGCTTGGAAGTGACTGTGGCCTGTCAAAGTAATCAAATACAGCCAATGCAATTATTAAAAATGCTCCACTGCACAGAGCCAGCAGGCTTTTGCATTGCAATTCTTAACAATAGCATGGTTCATTATGTATATCTCATGCTTAATACAGTACTGCTGCTTGCTATTCCATAGGCAAAGATGTTTGTGTGTTTGTGAGGCCTTACCACTGTCTGCAATAAGTGACTGAAAATGCAGAGATAACAGCTGAGTTTTAATTTCCTCTGTCCAGGTTCTACAGGGTCTGGTTTGGACCACAGTCCATCCAACATGGCACAAGTCTCCTCTACTGCTCCTTTACCCCACAAGTCACCTTTGTTGCCAGGGGCTAGATGGTGAGTCTGCATACCTTCATTGCCCAACCCTATCACTGAACATAAACACACCCAGAAAACAAACAAGCACAAACAGTGCTTGTTTAAACACTGCACACAGCACTTTTATTATTCATGCTTGATACTCTCAATGGCATATCATGTCTGTGATAAGCACACAAGTCTGTCCAGTCTCTTTATGATCGAAACAGCAGTGTCCTCATGTATTCAGTTCTACTCAGAATACTTATGGTCAAGCAGAAGTGTTCAAGAACCAGTACTGAGATACAGTTATTACCTTGCTGACTTTAAGACAAGCTAACAGCTACAAGTGAATGAGTTCACTGAAAATAACATTTGGCTACCCCTCTGATCTTATATCAACAAATTAATCAACTACAGAGAAAATTTGAGTAAACTTGGAGAAAAAAAAATGCAGGCGACTGTGTCTGACTGATTAATGAAGGAATCTTTAAAAGCTGTTATGTCATTGTCCTCTTGTGTAGCCACATCCAGTTTAAAGTGCTTTATCATTCTCCGCTAGGAACTGAAGGCCATTGGGCAAGTAAGCTGGACTCAGAAAACAGGCAGAGAAATGAGTTGAACTGGATTTATTGTGAAATGTTAGGAGGGGGGTTGGAATGTCGCTGGAGTAAAGAGTTTCAGCTCAGAGGCTGAATATGGCTGAGAGACGCTGGGTTGGCAGAGGAAGAACGGCAAAGAGACCAGGGCAGGGTTGCACATGTTGCAAGGTGGTTGTGTTGGTGGTGTGGAGTGGTTTGGTAGCAGAGAAGAGGTGAATGAGGCTGGCAGGATGCAGACAATGAACCTGAGGCGCACAGATGCATTAGCATTACTGAACAATCCAAGTGACAAGCAAAAATGGAACTGAGTTGAACCATTGCATTATTACCATGTAGGCAAACTGACCAATCTGGCAGCAAACAGAGAGCAGAGTCAGAGCTCACATGCTGTAGGATCTTGATTTTTTGGCAGAGGCTCAGGTGTGCAGATGTGATGGAAGAGGAGGGAATGACTGGTATACCAAGGAGCATTCAAAAGGCAACAAACAGATAGAAATACTGTTTAGGAGATGTTGGTATATTTGATTCAGGCCAAATGGGTACTCCAGGGAGAGGGGTTGGTGGCAGCGACATAAAGCTATCCTGCTATCCCTACCCCCCTCATCCCCACTCTCACCCCAACCAGATAAGGCAGGTGGCCACCTTTCCTGAGCTTGGTTCTGTCTTCACTTGCCCTCTCTTGATGATGTAGCCCAGTAAGCTCACAGAGGTAATGTGAAACTCACTTTTTTCAGCTTTCACAAAGGGAGTCTTCATCTGGCGTATTCTTTAAGAACACGAGGATATCACAAAGGTAAACAAATACAAACTGGTTGAGAAAATCTTAAAAATTTGTTCACCATTCTGTTAGGAACTGAATCAGATAACAGTCAGACAGATGAGTTTAACTGGATTTATTATGTAATGTTGAGGATGATCAGTGTATCAGTGGGGTGGACAGTTTGATGATGGCTGAGGTTGAATATGACTGGGAGACACTGGGCGAGCAGACTAAGGACAGCAGGGAGAGCATGGCAGGGCTGAGAGTGTGACTAGCTGGTGGCATTGTGAAGTCAAGAGTGGAACTGACTGGTTTGGTAGCGGAGGCTGGCAGGTTGTAGACATGAGGAAGACATGAGGCAGACACATTGGGATTACTGAACAGGTCAAATGCTTGTCTTTTTAATCCTGGATATGCAATGTCATGTCCCTAAAACTGTATTGGCAGATAATGAATATTTAATGACTCAGATTGATGAGGGGTAAAACCATTTGACTGAGACATCTCTAGGGCAAATGAATAAACATTAATTAATGAAATGGTTACATTCATGGCATTGACACTGTCTGCACCGACTCTGCAGTGATGATGGGACAGGGAGCGAAACGCTGCCGTAATTTTGCGTGAGCTTTGTTCTTATGTCCTTTCTTTCAAGCCAGCAATTGCAGTAAATAACATTTGGATAGCGGTAATAGTAAAACTAAGGTACCCACTTTATGGCAGACTACAGCAATCGCTCCTGTCAGCGTGCACTTCACAGTGGCTGTGGCTACCTGCTGGTAAAATTAATTCTTGACTTGCTCATTTCCAACAACACTGGACCTACATCACAGGCAGGTTAAACATAAAGCCATGCTCTTTAAAGGGAAATCAGTCCATTGAGGATAGCTTCGCACTTCATTTGACCACAAGTGCCATGCATGTTGTCATGTGGATTAACAAATGCTCCTCACAATCCAAACTGAATCCCTCATTTTGTCCCATTTTGTTTTCAAGTTTTCAAGTTACCTATTTATACATATAACCTTTTTAAAAATTAAAAACCAAAAAATAATTCATGCCTGATGTTTTATAGGGGCTGCAGGGTGGCACAGTTGGTAGCACTGTTGCCTTGTTCACGTCCCGGTGGGGGCGCCGGGATCTTTCTGCATGGAGTTTGCATGTTCTCCCCGTGCAGCGTGGGTTC